TACCCACACACCCGTGGAAGTGACTTCTCAGAAGCAAAACATCCTGAAAGAAAAAGGAATGGGAATAACTAGGAAATGGAGATAAGCATTGTTGCCACTCATGTTAAATGTACTCTCAGAAAAGTTGAAAATTAAAACGCATTTAAAAAAAAAATACGCGAACAAAGAATAAATATAAATAGTTTAAATATTTCACGGAATCTTTTAAGTGAACATCCACGTGACACTGGAAAGCATCAACAGGAAGAGGAAGTTCTGTTTCTGGAGTGGCTGTTATGGTATGATAATGGAATCTGGCCCGTTGAAAATCAACAAATGAGTCTTACAATTGGGTGAAACTCATTAGGAAATTCAAGTACTTTCTGCAGGAGCACTACTGTTGCACTTTTCATCAAAGCGCCTTCTTTGGCCCCCTAATTCAGTTATTTGATCTTGTTCTTTTTTAATGATGTAATAGTTTGAAGGATAACTTAAAAAAAAAAGTGACAGAAATTTGGGACCAGGATACAATGTCATAAATAAATTGAGAAATAAAATGTAGTAAAGGAATTAATATGCTTTTACTGCTTAACCTATTATTCCAAAGAATAACTCTTAAGAGTAAGGGAACTCCACTTAAACCACAAATGGTCTCCCTCAATTCACCAAACACCAGGAGGCAACACAGATAAGCACTACTATAAAAGACTCACAAAACTCAACAAATCCACCTGCCACACTTGTACCACAACATTCACTTAGGGTTTGTATCCCTTAAATGCAAACGTCCCTGGAAGATGAAACACTAAAAGTGCAATAATTAAAATTAAACCCCATGAATCTTCCTCGCCTTTTTTTTAGCTCCTTGACATTGCCCCCAGCAAGAGCCTGTGATTTACTGATAATTTCAACATTGTGGAAAATTATTAGAGAATAAACACTGTGCAGGTCAATACTTAAAGGAGATCAAGTTCATAAATTCTTATGCAGCAGTCTCAAACTAAAATTCACAAATAGAAATTCCTAAAAAGTAACAGTGTCTGGAAACAACAGGACAGAAGTAAAACTGATGATGCACCAATACCCCAGCTGACTTCGGGCACTGACCTTCACCCAAAATGACCTTCCTCTGGTTCCAAGTACAGAATCCTAATGCACACTACAGAGAGAAGACCACAATCATGGTTTTACCTACCCCTTCTCTGAGAATCTGGAGGAAAGTTTCCCTCCAGAAAAAACTACATTTCCAAATTCAATCAACCGGGGAACTTGGCAGCAACCCTAGACTAATTGCAGAGCTCGGAAACAAGCTTCTCTCCTGCGCCTGTCAACGCCACTGGTCAAAGGCAATCAGACTCTCCTGCTAGGTCGGGCGAATCCAGGAAGGCTAAGCGCAGGGGGGGCTTCATACCAACCTGTCGGTGATGGTAGACTGTGTGCCACTCATTGGGGCCCTTGGCGAGAGGTCCTCCTTTTATCCAACTTGCATTTTACAGTAGCACCTCCACCCCACCCCCAGTGCTCTGGGATCAGGCCCGACTCCGCAAGGGACACAAAAGTCCAACTCAAAACTCCATGCAGTCATCTAGAACGTCCGATGGGAAGGGGTCAAGGAAAGGGGATGTGGGGTGGAGCGAAACAAGTTATTTCCCCAAACAACCCGACAAAGTCTGCCAGAAGGCGAGTTCTAGAGCTCGAGAGCAATCCTCGAGGAGGCACAAGGAGAAAACTTCGTCACCGAGGGAAGTCGGCGAACCGCAGGGAAGGGGCCCGGGAAGCCCTCCGGGGCCGGGGCGGGATCCGCTCGCGCTGGGTGTCGGCGCCTCCTCCGGAGTCTCGGGGCCTGCGCGTCCCGCTGCCGCAGGGCCGACCCTCCCGTCTCCGCTCTATCTGGGGTCGCCGGCCGCTCGTGGCCGCAGCCCCGGCCGCATCTCGGGCCGCCCCGCGCCAGGCTCGCGCGGCTCCATGTCCCCGGGCCGGGGAAGCCCTCTCGTCTTCCTCGCCGCCCCCACGGGGTGCGGGGGCGAGCGCGGGTGCCGGGGGCGCGGGTCCCGCGGCCAAGGGTGACAGGAACCTGGTCTCAGCGCCGCGGGCTGCTCCCCATCCCACGGAGGCCCGGACTCTTCCGCAGTCGGCAGAGGCGGCGGCGGCTCCTCCCCGACGCGCCGGGAGGCGGCGGTTCCAGCGAGGGGCGGGAGGTTCCCGTCCGGCCCGGCCTGGAAACACCGACCCCGGAGGCCGGCGGCGGCGGCGGCGGCGGCGGCAGCGACTCGCAGCGCAGGGCCGGCTCGCCGGGTTCTGGGGCCCTCGCGGGAGCGCGCGCGGCGGGCGGAGGAGGCCGGCGGCGGTGGGGCCGCGCGACCCTCGCAGGCGCGCGCACGGGTTCCGGTTCCGGTTCTGTCTTCCTAGCCCCAGCCGCGGCCTGCGCGAGCGAGCTCGTCCCCTCCCCCGCCGACTTTTTTTGGCCTCCTCCCCTCAGACTTCGGGAAGCCGCCTCACCCGGGATCCCTCCGCGGCGCGCACGGCCGCCGCACCGCCCGCGCCGCCCGCGCCGCCCGCCGCCCCCGCTCCCCCGCCTCGAGGTCACGCCGCCCCCGTGCGGACGCCTCCGCCGGAGTCGTGGTGGGGAGAGCGGCAAAGTAGTTCTGCCGCGCGGAGGGAGGTGGGACAGTAGGACTCCGAGAGTTTCTTCAGGCAACCCACCGTCGCCCCCGGGGCCCTGGGAAAGCTGCGTGTCTGTAGTTTGAAGTCTAGATTGTACTAACGCAGCTTTAACCGGAGGCCGCCAGAGCGCGCCCCCAATCTCGAGGATTTCGGGCTGAGAGTCTCTTTGGAAAACACCCGACCCCTTGTCCTAGAAACTTATTCCTTGAGGGAGTGTACTTGTTCCGATTTCCTGGTAACATGTATAGGCTGCTTTTGACCGATGGAAGCGAGCTTAGGTCCAGGGTCCCGGACACTGCCCCTCTCTTCCGAAGCAAACCCCAGCAAAGAGCCGTTTGGGCCTTGGCCGCTCACCTGGGGCACCTGCTGGCCTCGTTCCGGGACCGAGGCCGCCACGCACACTGACTGCCTGGTTGCCTGGGGAGGGTCGGAGGACAGGGCTGTGTAGGGCTGGGGAGAAAGAGTTTGGGAATTGGAGCCGCGATTGCTTGGGATAATACTGCTTTTAGGCTGCTTCTGCTTTGGCAAAATGAAATGCATTATTTGCCAGATGAGAAAGCATGATGCCTTCCACAGCGACTTAAGCTTGCCTGTGGAAAGAAATGGGAGCAGAAAATACAGTCTTTATCCGATACATGGCATTACAGTTCTCTTTGAAGAGTTCCCAAATATCTTTTCAGTTTCTTTCCTACCGCGTAGATAGATTTAGATATCTGTCTAGTTTTATGATTGCATAATTTGCTAGTGTAGCAGTTTAAGCACAATGTGCAATTTAGTTCTTCAGTTCCAACCTTCCAGGTCTAAAGCGGCTGTCCCTTTATCCAAGTATTTTCAGACTTTTGAGTTTAAACCTGAATTGGTGGTCTTCAGCCTTTTTTGTGGCAATCAAGTGGCAACGCAAATGTAAGTCTCAGGGGATGTGGAGAGGGGAAACAATTACAATGAACTCTTAACAATGCTGTTTATAGAAGTCAATCTACAACAGTTCATGAAAGGATCATGGTCCCTGAATAGATGCATGAGCTAAGGCTGACGTTAGAACGGGGTAAAAAAAAGGATAAGATAAACAGAGGCCAAAGATGACTCTTTATTGTTTGATTTTTGTAAGTCCAGGACACAGCCAGCTAATTTTGTAATGTTTATTTTGGGAAAGAACAGAAGCAGATTAGGGTTCCGGGCCACTTTCCTAATGATCAGACCAGGACACATTGCCACCTGCTGGTGTACCCTAACATGATAATTCTGTCCTGAAAAACTCTTCATTAAATTATTTTCTACATATAACTGGAAAGAGCTCCCTCCATCTATATATACAATGACCAAAATGCAACCTTATCTCCAAACGTATCTTTCTTAAACATAAAATATCTTTTTTGCCCTATTCTAATAATTGTACAGTGTAGCTATCAAATTAATTGGACCCAGTGACTCATCAAATTATGCATTTTAAAAATTGGTTCCCCTCTTCCCTTCAAGACTGCCTCACTACTTGAGCTTCAGAAATAAAACAAACTGGGAAAGTTTCCTAATTCACCTTCTCTTCCTTGCATACAAAACCTCTTGGCAGACTGCTTTCAAGATCTTTCCAAACTTAAACAGACCCAAAGTTCTAGCTGTGAGCAAAGAAGGCATTTGCTGTGGGAAAGCTTCAGAAGACGGTAAGCAAAGGATTTAATTAAGCCAGTGGTTCATTCCAGAACTATTTTTTTCTTAATGATGAAAACCTCTATATTCACCCACAAAGCGCTAACAGGAAAATGTCCCTGAAAGCCTCTTTACAGCTGTTGGAAGCTCTAGACTGTTCTAAAGTCTCTATCTGAAGAATGCCTTCAGAAAAGTCACACTAATCTACGTAGAACACACTCCCCAGGGTCATTAGTTCTTGGCCTAGAAAAATGAAATTGGTGACACAAACCACCGTGCCTGCTCTTTGAGGAGGTTTTCCAGTGGGGGTTATTCTAACCCACATTCCCCTCCCCTCATCCATTCTTTCAACGTGCTTATTGAGCACCTACTCTCCTGACACTGTTCTAGGCGTTGGAAGCACAGTCCCGAAGAAAGTCGAAGGCCCTGTCTTCATGGAGCCCACTCAACATCATCATTTTCAAGGCAGCTGCCCACAGGTGGCCAAATAAGAAAGAAATTAAGTTCTTCCTCTCTCTTTTGGCAAACTGTTTTCTGTATGTCGATTATTGCTCCTAAAAGTAAAGAATGGTAGGAATGGTTGATGACAAGCAGCAGATAAGAGTTATTTCACTGATATGTATAAATATGGGTCAACATTTCTACAGGCCAAAAGACATTTTTTTTTTTTTTTTACTTCTTGCAAAAACTACAACAAAGATATAAAGGCAGACTCTGGGTTGATAAAAAGTTGTTTATTTTTATAAAATTTAGTACAAATCTTACTGAAATATAAATCCTTCTTGAGCAGTGTTAGTAATTATTACATAGTAATCCAAATGCAAATGAGTCCTGCACTTGGTCTGACCACACAAGTGAATTAGCCCTTCATTTACCTGTGATGTAAAAACTCAGCATCTTAACTGCTGAGTCATCTTTATTTCTCATTTCTCCCTCAGAGAGTTTCCTTCATAGGTATTAGCTGCAACATCAAGAATAGCTGAAATGAGGAAATCTCTTTCCCTTAGCATTATTTAGGTTTCTCAAAATTCAAAAAAACTACATACATTCCCATGAGAGTACCCCACAACAGCAAGATCTGCAATCCCTTCATTTCTGAAGAGTAGGGAGAAAGAATTGGTACCAGATTAAGCCTATTCATTTGGCTGGTATGGAACAGGTTACCCTGTGCCCAAATTCAAGAGCCAGCTTTTCCTTTTTCTTTTTTTTTTTTTTTTAAGCTCATGCGCCAAGCCACTCTTTTTTACTAGGCTTTTGCTAAAATCAGCACTCCCCGGCATCCTACTTTGACCACAAATTTGTTGGAAGGAACCTAACCAGCATTTTAGGGATACTGATCGTAGACAAAAAGAGATAGAGATGCTACCGTCAGATTATTTCCATGGCCAGCAAAACTCTTTAACCAAATGACAGTCATTTGAGAAGACTCACTGTCAACATGCCTTTTCAAGTTGCTTTTCCCAGAGCAATGATGACTTTACGTGGTTCCAACCACTCCGTCATGCCTGGCCAATGATATCCATTTTCAAGACCACTCATTAGGTTGGGATTACCAGTCACCATAGGATGGGCTCACACTTCCTACTGACCTTCAGCCTTGACTTCAAGAACCCCATACACTGGCTCACCAACTGAGCTAATCAGTCACCATGGGCCTCAATAACATAGTCAAATAAATAAGTAAACAACAAATATATAAATAAATAAATACTTCATTTTTTCATAAAAGCCCTACGTTAAAGACCTCCCTTAATAAAATGCCACATATTGTCTCTATGAAATACACAATGGGGTATTTCATTCATTCACAACAGGGTTTAAACTGAGGCATAGAGTAAACAAGCGACCTGCCCAAATGATCTGGCAAGTGAGTAGCAATATTAGTTAAAAGAGCCCAGGAATTCTTGATTCCTATCCCCTTGTTCTGTGCTTACACTCTTGCTTTTCCTAGGTGAGATTAGAGACTATCACACTAAAAAATATTTTTTCCTTCCAAGACTGGCCTTGTCATAACATTCTGTCCATAGACACTGGCACCTTTTTCCGAGAAAAAGAAAAAGTTGTAAGAGGACTAAAAGGGAATGTATCCGAAATGCAAAAAAATTAGCCTCATCCCCCTGAGGCCAGGACACACTTTGGTTCTCTGGGTCTAGCCTGCAGTGTGCACAGCAGAGCTGAAACCTGAACTGTCATCTCAAGCTCAGTGGAATCCACAGGGTAAATCCCTATGGAATTTAGTCACAGCCTCTCATGCCTACGAGATTAATGCACAAAGCCCTGAGAACTGGCATGGTTTTCCTGGTTGGGCAGAACCCGTACAACAGGACTCGGTAAATCTGCCCACACCTCATTCATCTCTCATCCAAAGCCCTGGCTCTATGGTTTTTGTGCAGAAAGAGTTAACATGGCAGGACTGAACTGCTCTCCTTGGAAAGGCTGCTTGCAAGGCTGGCCCTTGGCTGGCATCTGGGAGCTTAGATTTCGGGAGAGCTCCCACCCTTAACTGATAAGACTGGCTCACTGTGCCTAAACTGTTTGTGCAAATATGGTTTATGCTGAATACCTGCTTTCCTGTTGGGAGTCAGGAATTTTGCTACCCACCAGGCAAAGGCTGCCTACATGACCAGCCCCCAATAAAAACCTTGGGCACTGAGTCTCTAATGAGCTTCCTTGGTGGACATTTCACACCTATTGTCGGAAATCGTTGCTAGAAGAATTAAGCACGTCCTGTGTGATCCCACTGGGAGAGGGCTCCAGAAGCTTAGGCCTGGTTTCCCCTGTACTCTGCCCCAGGTGCTTCTTCTCTTTTCTGATCTGTCTTTGTATCCTTCCCCTATAATAAAGCAATGAGTACTACTATGTACTGAGTCTCGTGAGTCCTCCTAGCGAACCTGAGGGTGGTCGTGGGGACCCCAGATGCAGTTGGTACAGGGATGCTCAGTAAGTAACCCATCACCACTGCCACAGCTTCACCCCCATCCTTCTCTCATCCTCTGTCCCCTTCGTTTAAGCAGATTCAATCCCCTGATCTAATGGTCAGAATGTCAAAGGCATTCTTCTTCCTGGAAGTTCCTCCCTTTTTAGTAAATGGGGTGAATTATTATAAATTGCTACATGGAAAGTGTTGAAGGAGTCACTTCTCAAAGGAATAAGGAAGAAAGAGCAGTAATCTTTTTCGAGTTCCTTTCTAAGCTGTCTGACGATCCAGCCTCCTAGCGACGAGAGGACCCAGGGTCACCACAGACTAAAAGGGATGCAGCAGTGCTCACCTCACAGTTCTGACTGATGCACAACTACCACTGAGGAGGAGTCGCACTTTCTACAACTGTGCGATGGTAGAAGTTAGTGTTTTAATACTGGTATGTGCCGCACTCGAAGACCAACCAAACTGATCAAGACATTTAGCCCTTTTTAGAAACCTAAGTTTGTTATAAGCGTGATTCCGTAACAGCCATATTTCCAACCTGGTTCCCACGGCTGACTTAACCCAATCCATTATCTGGAGCAAGCCTTGGCGAGTGCGTCTTGACATGTCCATTACATTTTCGCTGCCACTCCTCACTTCGCCTGCTTCTCCAGGCATGGTACTTCTTGATGCTTTTCCTCCATGCAAAGCGCCAGATGCTAACCATGAAACACCAAGACACAGCATACATCGCTACTCCCCCAACCTTTACAAACCACTTGGGCTTGGGTGAGACCATTTCACAGTAAAGGAGGCGAGCTCCTACGCCAATCCTCACTCCGGTGAACAGAGCCACAAAGAGGAAGTCCACCACATCTCCAGTGAAACTGTGGTAGTGCCCTGTTTCACGGAGAAACCAGCGCATCTGCAGCAAGGGGTTGGTAATCTCACTTCCAAAGAGGACTGCATTGACCTCTGTGCCTGACTCTCCAAGCACCAGGGCCATGATGATGCCCAAGATACTCAGTGTGTGGTGAGCCAGCATCAGGGCACCCTCAGACTGGAAGTAGATGCACCAGCCCAAGTCGAAGATGAAGTAGCCCAAGGTGAGACACAGAACGTGCACTTGGAGAGGTGTATTAGGTGAGCCTGAAATAAACCAAGATAGAAGCAAATTGAGTGACTGGCAATTGTGCTACCTTGCAGAGGGATCCTATGTTGTCGTCTCTCAAACCTTTTTGAATCACTGAAAGCAAAAACAATGGCAGGAACATGCTTTTTAATGACAACAAAAGAAAGACTAAAATCTAAAAACTTGGTCTTTCTCAAAGCAAACAGCGTTACAGGCCCCAGGAAATGTTCTGATGAATCAGATCTCAATGAGTGATTCAAGCATCAGCAATTATCTCAGCGTCCTTTCTGTGTAGCAGCATAAAATAGAGTTATTTTGTTCTTTCAGTTAAAATCCTACATGGCTTCTTTCTTTTATTTTATTTTACTTTTTTTTACCAGCTAAAGGTCTGTTTCCAGATTCTTTTAGTTATGCTGTCCTGGGTGTCAGATTAATTTCTTAGCTTAATGGATTGGATTATTGGGCACTCGTGGTCCTAACTGATCTTGAAACTGGACTCTGGAAAGAACCCCAGAAGTTAGTGTGTTCCCGTGTCCAAGACAATAGCGTGCAAGGACCTGACATGTTTGAATCCATTAGAAGCCATCATATAAAACTTAAAGCCTAAGAGTTACTTTCATATCAGTTTGACAGTTTTGGGGAAAACTCGGAAGCTCAATATGTGAATCCAAGGAAATTTTTTTAAAAACAGAATCTAAGGAATTGAAAAACAATCATATTCTAGAGACTTGGGGACTGAATTCTGGCCCCTCAAAATTGAAGCCCTAAGTCCGGTACCTCAGAATATAACTCTATTTGGGGATAGGACCTTTAAAGAGGTAATTAAGTTAAAATGGGGTCATCAGGGTGGGCACTAATCCCATGTGACTGGTGTCTTTATAAAACTAGGAGATTAGGACACAGACACACACGAAGGGAAGACCATGTGAGGACACAGCAAGAAGGTAGCCATCTGCAAGCAAAGGAGCGAAGCCTCAGAAGAAACAAAATTGGCCAACACCTTGATGTTGAATTTCTAGCCTCCTGAATTGTAAGAAAATAAATTTCTGTTGTTTAAGCTACCCAGTCTGTAGCATTTTGTAATGGCAGCCCCAACAAACTAATACAGGGGATATGATTTTTGTACTCTAAGGAAGTAGCACTCATACATCTAGCAGCTTAAAAATTAATATAACTGGCCCAGATAATGAGGCATTGCTTACCATCATCTATTTGATGGTAAATGCATACAACACAGTGTTACGTAACAATTAAAAAGGACAGCTATATACACAGACATGGAAAGATGATGTCCTTCGAATACACAATCAAGTAACAATTGCAGGTTACCAAAAAGTATATATAATACAGTCTATTTGTGTCTGTTTGGGGGCGACAGTGGATGTTGATATTGGCTTTACTTGTACATTCCAATCAATTAAATTGAAGCACTTAAAATTTGTTTTAAAAGTAGAGAGTTATGAAAACAGAAACCATAGGTAACATACACAATATCAGAGTTAACACTGAAGACGAATGAAGACTCCCAATACAAATTATAATGCTAATTATTCTTCAATACTGTACAAATTCTGTGAAAAAGTCCCATCTTTCTAAGACTACCCCCCAAATGATGAATCCCTAAGGGAAAATCCTCTACTGTCTCCCACCTACCTGGGTGGGTAAAAGGCCAAGGGCCATCAATGAAGCCAATATAAGCAGAGAGGCCTATAGAGAGGACTCCATGGGTGAAGGTAACCAGGCGGCAGCTCCACTCATAGCTTCGGTGCTTAGTCAGGCGGCAGAGAGAAATGTAGAGCGAGAGCCAGCCCCCCAGGCTGCACAGCACCTGCAGACACAGAGCTAATGCCATCCTATGATGAAAAGACCGAAACCAGAAAAACAAAGGAGGCACCCTAAGAAAACAGCATTGGGTCAATTTGTGTATAATCTTCATTTCTACTCTAGAATAGTATAAAAATATTGCCTTCGCTGAAACCCTTCTTCCTTATCTGCATAGTCAAGAATCTTCTGTTTAAGTGTGGCTGTATTTCTGACTCCGTGTTCCTTAGAGATAACATGTTGGCAGCTGTTAAAAGCTGTAAACTGAAAACCAGACCTGCCTTCTGAGTTAGTAGACTGTCTAATATAACATGTGGTTACGATGAGTAAATGTCAATCATCATAACCAGCCAGTGATGACTGACCTTGGAAAATGATACACAAGTAATATAATACATGTATTAGATAACGTGTTCACATTTCAAGAGTCCCAATAAGAAGCTCTCATGAAAAAAATACCGCCACCACTTGTGGTCTCGACTCGATAGGTCATATGACACATGGCAGTTTCATGTGGTTTTAAGCTGATACTGAACTCAAGTGATGTTTGGATGTGGGTCACAGGTTTATCAGCAACATCGAAACTTGAGGTAAACCTAAATATAGCGCTAAACAAAGACTCCAGATATCTTGGAAGGAAAAAAGTAAAATAAAATCCTAGTCCTATTCAGTTCTGAAATCCAACTCAGAGATTTACCAAGAGGGAAGCAGAAGGATTTGAAGTACAAAAGGAGAGTTTTTGTTGAGATACAAAAATATCTTTAAGGCAATTATTCAGTTAAAAATGAAACAAAGTCACAAAGCTACACTTCGAAATTTTTACGGGTGACAAATATATCAGGATAAGAACTATCGTGACTGAGTCAATTTAGTCATACAGGACTAAAAAATAACTAAGATGCTGTTATTAATATTCATTAGCCCTTCTATTGAAAGGAGGAATGAAACAGTCAAAAACATTTCAGATATCTGTCTCATCTCAGCAAGAATCTTCCGCATGGCTACACTGCTTAACCCTATTCTGACAAGTGAAATAGTATCTGTGGACCAACACACTCAATACACAAGCCACTCCCAAGAATGCTATCCAGAGAGGGCTTGATGAAGGTCAAGTTCTGTACAGCTCATCTGAAATCAGATTTGTAGTCAAGAGAACAGCAGACGTCAATCATAGACGAGTTCCTATTCTGTCTCTGCCCCTAACCAGCCATAAGAGTGCCGGCAAATCACCTCAATTGAAAAAAAAAGAAGAAAAGAAAAGAGGGTTGAAAAATTCTATAATCCAGTCCAGTTCTAACAAGCAGTTCCGAGATAAGTTTTGTAAAACGTCTAGGCCAGTTTTCAGAGCAAGGGCCAGAAATACAAAGTACCCAGAGTGAAAAGAACAGTCCTCCCTCATTTCCTTTCAAAGGCCAGGGTCACCGGCCAGTAATGCGGATCAGCTCATTTGGATATGCCGATTAGTATTTTTAGAGTCCTCTTCCCTGAATCCTAATTCCCTGGCAGAACAGAGGAAACAGTAGTCCATTTACAAACATTTCAATAAAAGAAGAGACATTTGTAAATGGAGGATACAACTCTGTGACCTTGGGAAAGTCACTCCATCTCTGGGTTTCGGCTTTTTACTCCAGGGTAAAGGAATGGCAGGGTATTTAGATGGCCATTCCAGCTCAGAATTCCAAGGCTCCGGGCCTCGCTCCTCCCGTTCCAGGGCCAGATTCGGGAGGAGGAGCGCGGGGCGGGCCCACCTGGCTCTCGGCCTCGGAGCAGGCGTGGCTGGGGCGAGCAGCAACCTCAGGCGGCTCGCAGGCATGGCGAGCGCATCTCCCCTGCACCGGCCTGCGGGCTGTGGCCAAGCCCGGCTCGGGCACACCTGAGCCCGGCCGCTGTGCGGGCATCCGTGCGGGCGCCGAGCCTGGCGCAGACAGGCCTCCAGCTCCCAAGACAGGAGGAGGCCCCGTCCCCTCGGAGGCCAGACCATCCGCCCGCCTCCTTCCCCACCAGCGGGCCGGCAGGTCCGGAGCCCAGCCCGGCCGCGGGAGCTGGGCGGTTCGCGCCGCGCGGTTACCTGGCCGAGCGCCCCGGGAAGCCTCGGGCGCTTGGGCCCCTAAGCTTGGGGCCCGGATCCCGCGAGCAGGAAGCAGCGGAAAGAGGGAGAGAGGATGAGGCTCTGACGGTGGAGGAGGAGGAGGAGCCGGGGGTCTGGGGGCACCTGGTGGCTGGGAGGACGGAGCGCAGAGCCGGAGCTGGACGAGGCAAGGTTCCTAAGGGAGCCGGAGGGTTCTCCTTCGCGCAGGGCTCAGTGTGCGTGTGCGTGTGTGTCCGTGTGATCTACTGGTGACGTGAGATCTGCAGGCTGTTGTCCTTGTTTGTTTGTTATTCTCTGTTTGAGTAATTATCCATACCCCCCCCCCCCGCCCCCACCAGGAGACAGCCCATCCAATACCGGTTGTTGAGCACCCACTAAGAGCCTCACTCCTACTAGGCACTGTGAGAGATGTAAGACATAGTCCCTGCCCCTCATGCTTGAGCCTAAATTGTGAAACAAGCACGCAAATAACTAATTCCCAGGAAAAGCCTCAGGCCTGGGAATTAGAAGTTACTCATCATTTCAGCCCTGTCACCAACTTGACAGTAGAGTAGTATAAGGCTTAAGAATAAACCTGGTTTGGTTACTGGGCAAGTTTTAACTTTTCTGTGCCTCAGTTTTCTCATTTGTAGAATGAAAATATTAATAAGACTTATCTCCTAAGGTTATTGTAAGAATTTTACACACTTCATATGTGTAAAGTGCTTAGAACAACGTCTGGCACATGGAAGTGACTATATAAATGTTAATTATTGTTGTTATGTTACTTTGGGTAAATCCTTTCTCCTCTCTGGATCTATTTTAATACCAAGGAAAGTAAGTTCGAAGAGACGACCAAGCATATGTCTGGAGGCTCAAAGGGGGTTAAGAGGGCATCTGGCTTGGTTGATCCAGACAGGCAATGATGGGGTGCTGGGGGGCCCAGACAGTCGTAAAAGAGAAGACTTTGCACAGAGATGTGAGTGTTTAAGCCATGTCTGGGGAATAGTAAGTAGTCTAGTTTGGGTCATTTGTCTTTTCAATCCTTCAACAGTAAGGATCACACTGTTTTCATCTTTGTTTTCCTAGTACTTGATAAGAGGCAGGTACAATAAATATTTGCTGATTGAATGAATGGGAAGTGAGTCCAGAAAAGTATATCAGAAGCATATTTTGGCTCTTAAACCTCATTGATCATCTATACCACTTGGTAAGTTTTTTCAAAATACCCTTGTGCAGGCTCCACCTTGAAGATTATATTTAGTAGGCCTGGTGTGGGTCCCAGGAATCTGTATCTTTTAAAACCTGCCCAGGGGTCCTTCAGATGATCAGTCACATTTGAGAACCACTGCTGTTAGAGGCCCCTAAATGACTGATACCAGCCTAAGATGCCAGGCCGAGGCCTCTTATTATGTGGATAACAGGAAACCTACAATGTTATTGGGCAAGGGAATAATTTTGTCACCTTCTCCAAGCCGTTGCTACTCAAAGCGTAGTCCATGGACCAGAAAAATCTGCATCACCTGAGAGTTTGTTAGAAACACAGAATCTCAGACCCTAACCCCAGACCTTCTGAATCAGAATCTGCATTTTAACAAGGTCCCCAGTGATTTGTATGAGCATCTGGGCAGTGGTTCTCAACCCAGGTAGCACTATACCATCACCTGAGGAGCTTTTAAGTCTCCCAATGCCCAGACACACCCTAGACAAAGGAAATCAAACTCTGTGTGGGTATTAACCTTTATTAAAGTTCCCCAGGTGGTTCCAATGTGCAACCAGGGTTGAGAATCCCTGTCATACACTCAACTAAAAGCAGTTTAAGATGAATTGGAGAAGACAGCCTGTTACAAGTGGGTTGGAATGGACCAGATAAGAGGTAATGATAGCCTGAAGAAAAAAAACATGGAAAGATCCATCTCACTAAAGGGATAGTATGCAAATTTCAATCCTTTCCCCCCTGGTTTTTGTTGCAGTATTTTTTTCTTCTAGTATGTGAATCTGGAACTTTCTTTTTGCTGTCATCATTTCCCAGGAAAGAACAGAGTATTTGAGGCCTCAGGAGTCTAAAGGCTGAGGGGGTAACGGAAGGCGCCAGTTCTCCCAGTGGAGCCGTTATTGGCCTTTATCATAGGGTGAATGGGATTCCAGGTTCGAGCTTCATTATCTGGGATTAAATTTTATTTATTTATATATCTTTGGCCACAGTCCTTGTTCCATCTTATCAGATCGTTGGCAACAGTGGCATCTCCCAGAAAAGTTCTGGGCTGTTAGGGAGAGCAGGGGATAGGAAACTCCCCACCAATTTAGTTTAATAACAATGACAATGATAATCATAATCGCAATAATAACAGATAACACTTATTAATGTGCCAGGCATTGTTCTAGGCACTTTACATATACTAACTCATTTCGTTCTCACAATAACTCTGTGAGATGGATTTCATTGTTATGCCCATTTTACAGGTGAGAACCTGAGGCACAGAGCAGTCAAGGAACTCCCTCAAGGTGCCATGATTAGTAGGAAGCAGATTTGGTTATGAACCCAGGCAATATGGCTCTGGAGGCCGTGCTCTTAACCAGCAAGATATGCTGCCTCCACTCATCTAGAATGTCCTATGGATGCGTACTGTATTTTTCTGTGTGCACAGCTCCTAATCTCAGTGAAGGGCATTAGAAATTCTTTAGAGGTAAAAAAGGAATTCAGTTTTTAAAAATCTTAATTGCCTATTACGTACTAGTCACAATGCTAGTGATGGGGAAATGGAGAAAAAGAGACAACCTCAACTACAAGGAGCTCACCTCAGTCAAGTGGGAGAAGCAGAAGAGTCAACAAATGCAGTACATGAGATATGACATAAGCATTTAGAGTGCACAGGGGGGAGAGGCACAGAGGCCAGACACCTGGGGACTCAGGGCAGGATTCCTAATTTGAGTCCTGGGACCAAGCCAATTCTTAGGGTTGGACCAAAAGTCCTTGGCATTAGGAGCCTACAGCTGGGTCCACCTGTCTTGAGTCAACTAAAGATCGAAGTATGAAACAAAGTTTGAAAAGCCGCAGTAACGATCATTTTCTCCTTTCTGACCCCCTGGACAATGACTGGTTGTTGCCATTAGATTCTCTTGTGCCTGATTAGGTGCTGAAGAAGCTAATCAAGTTTCGCTTAAACTTCATTGGAATTATGAGTTTTATGGAATCACGCAGACATGAAAAGTAAGTTGGTACTCACTTTCAGATTTGACTCTATTCAGCAACTGTCCGAGTCAATGGACAATGGAAGCTACTGGAGGCTAAGCAGTTAGGCTACAATTCTGTTTCTTTCTTTCTTAAGAACCTAGTCAAATAGAGATCCCAAAAATAGACCCCCATAAATATAGTCAACTGATCTTTGACATAGGAGCTAAGGCAACATGATGGAGAAAAGATAGTCTCTTCATAAATGGTGCTAGCACAACTGGACAACCACATGCAAAAAAATGAATCTCGATACAGACCGTATACCCTGCACAAAAATGAACTCAGAATGAATCATAGACCTAAAGCTAAAATGCAAAACTATAAAACTCCCAGGAGAAAACATAGATGATTCTGGGTTTGGTGATGCCTTTTTTAGATACAACACCGAAGACACAATCCATGAAAGAAATAATTGATAAGCTGGACTTCATTAAAATGGAAAACTTATGCTCTGCAAAACACAAGATCAAGAGAAATAGAAGAGAAGTCAGACTAGGAGAAAATATTTGCAAAAGACACACTGATAAAGAATAGTTATCCAAAATATACAAGAACTCTTAAAACTCAACAGTAAGAAAACAAACAACCTGATTGAAAGATGGGCCAAAGACCTTAATGGATTCCTCACCAAAGAAGATATAGAGATGGTAAATAAGTATGTGAAAAGATGTCCCACATCATATGTCATCAGGGAAATGCAAATTAAAATAACAATGAGATACCACTACAAACCTATTAGAATGGCCAGAATCCAGAACACTGACAACAACAAATGCTATCGAGGGTGTGGAGCAACAGGAACTCTCAGACCTTGCTGGTAGGAATGCACAATGGTACAGCCACTTTGGAAGACAGTTTGGCAGTTTCTTGCAAAAGTAAATATACTCTTACCATATGATCCAGCAATCACACCTCTTGTCATTTAGCCAAAGGAACTGAAAATTTATATTCACACAACAACCTGCACATAGATATTTATAGCAGCTTTATTCATAATTGCCAAAACTTGGAAGCACCCAAGATGTCCTTCGGTAGGTGAATGGATAAACATACTGTGGTACATGCAGACAATAGAATATTATTTCATGCTGAAAAGAAATGAGCTATCAAGCCATGCAAAGACATGGAGGAATCTTAAATGCATATTACTAAGTGAAATAAGCCAATCTAGAAAGGCTATACAGTCATGCATCACTTAACAATGGGTATACGTTCTGAGAAATGGGTCATTAGGTGATATTGTTGCTGTGCAAACATCATAGAGTGTACTTATCCAAACCTAGATGGTATAGCGTACTATATATCTGGGCTATGTAGTACTAATCTTATGAGACCATCATCATATATGCGGTCCATTGTTGACCAAAACATCATTAGGTGGCACGTGACTATATACTATATGATTCCAATGATATGACATTCTGGAAAAGGCAAAACTATGGAGACAGTAAAAAGATCACTGGTCGCCAAGGGTGTAGTGGGGAGAGAGATGAACAGGCAGAGCTCAGAGGATTTTAGGGCAATGAAAATATTCTGTATGATATTGTAATGATGGATATATGTCGTTATACTTTTGTCGAAATCTGTAGAATGTAGAACACCAAGAGTGAACTCTACGGTAAACGATGGACTTTGGGCGATATGATGTGTCACTGTAGGTTCATCAGTGGTAACAAATGTACCACTTTAGTGGAGAATGTTGATAATGGGGGACGCTATGCATGTGTGGAGATAGGAGGTACCCAGGAAATCTCTGT